TAATTATCAGGAGGGGGGCTGAAAAATGAGCCTGACATAGAGTAATATTACGTTGTGTCCCCCTGCCAACAAAGGCAAGTTAGCTCTGAACCCCTCCTGGTCAGTTAAAAATTATAACCCCCCCCCCCCCCCCTCTTCCTCTCGCCTTACATTTACATGAATTCACTACTCCTTTTGTTCTGTAACGTTTTTCGACGGCTGCGTTTGGGACATCACCTCAAGACTACGTTTGACAAAGCCAACTATTTTAGAATAGTCCGATTGCTTGTCATCTACAAAATCGTACTATGAATCACTGGATTGAAGCTATGAGTCATTTGCGTCAGTACCTTTGATTTCTTTTTAACTCATGACCAACACGAACATACCTCAGAGCTACTTGTTCCTCTTTCCCTCCAATGACTACTTGTTAATGATGCTGTTTCAGGTACAGTATTAACTTTCTTCCCGTCAATGATTTGACTTGGTGCTCGTCGTTCCAGCCAATATTTGGCAGTGCGTTTATTTGAGCTGCTCGTTTTTGGGCCTTTAAAGCAAGAACCTCTTGGAGTTGCACAAACCTCTTTCAGATAATCTCAAAAAAGCCATGAATTCCTCGCGCACCTTCTACAGTTCGATAGTTGTACGCGTTGAAAAATTCGATCTAGGAATGAATCGGCACGATGATGCTCCAGCCTTCACTGAGATCAGGAACCGAAAACTAACGCCGACCATTCTTCCTGTTTGTAAGACTCTCAAGTGGGTTCGCGAGAAACCTTTAGGCACTGTACTCTAAGTTGTAGTGCCTTGACACACACGATCTTTCTTTAGCTTTTTAAGTTTTAAAAGCAAAGAATTCCTCATATGCCGCTATTCGCACAATCTTTACGTCTGCTGGGATTAACTTGACGCACCTTTAGCTTTGGGCTGTCTTTACATCTAATGGTAATTACTATAGAAAAAACCTCTATAAAACCTCTGTTAGTTACTGTTGTCTTAAAAGGGAGACGCCCTTTTTGAGATCCTGGATACTCCCCTGTTCTATTAAGTATAGGAAATCAGCTAAAATATCATGTAACCAGAATTGTTCATGGCTTTGGTACTAATTATTGCTAGATCTATGTTGATCAGATATAAATCATGGTTTGTTCATACTAAATCAACCTCAGAAAGAAATCAGTATTATTGTTAGTGAGTCAGCTTACCCACGAAATAATAAGATTCCACCCCCTTCTTAATAGAGAAACTTACATGATGCCCCCCCCCCTCTGGTTTTGCAGCCTCCCCTCCTGATAATTATTGCACAGTTCTTAATCACGAGTATGACCATAGACCGAAGTGGAAAACGCGGAGCTTTAATTGGAAATGAAGTCAGGGCTGCTGATACCTAAATCAGATAAGAGAATTTTTTTTCAGTTATGATCAGGGTATGGTTGTGATCAATGCTGAAATCATGGCTGTCAATAGCCAATCAGTCTGTTTTAGACTTAATTAACGAGAGATTTTCATTCACTTACTACCGCGCGACTTACGCGTCACTTGCTCTTTTGTTTTCACAGAATTTCATTTATATCATGATTGATGTGCCCCGCACAAGCAAATATCAACTCATATTCCATTACAATTACATTTCATATTTACCCGTGACGGCTATGGTCAAATTTATTCCAACCCTAGACTCTGGTAAGTATTTGTCTGCTCTTCGTAACTTTTCATCTACAATACCATTTCGATAATATCTGCAGCTCACTGCTATTCGTGCTGTTGCTGCTGTTGTTGTTTTTCATTATCAGGTTTGCTTACTTTTCTTTCCAATTTAGCAACATTTGTAACAAGTTTCTCTGAAACAAAAACACGGCAAAATTTGCACAAGAAGCTTTGGGCCCGTATAGGCTCAGCAAGCGTCAAAAGAGGCCAGCCCTTTTGATGTAGAACTAAAAACGTCAACACTCAAAATGTCTGCTTTTATGTGTTCGTGCCAAGAGAACTTATTCGCCTGTTCATTTTGTTTCGTCCCACTGTAGATCTCGGGACCTTCTAACTTAAGAGATTTGATGTTTTGTCTTGTTTACTTAGAACTTGTGAGACTGACCTGCCTCAATTAGTATAGTTACCTGCAAGTCAGTCGGATTGATTGTAAATAGTTTGTTATATATAATAAATAAACTTGAAACTTAAAACTTGTTGGAAAGAAAAGGTGGGTGTGAGCATAAAAATGTCCGCCTCTTTTGATCTTCATTGGGGCAGCAAAATATACAAGCCAAAAAGGTCAAAAAGACCTCAAGTCTATCTCTCAGAATTGCACAGTTTTAAAATTTAATCGATTGCAATGCTTTTAATTGTCAGCTTCCTTTCCTGATGGCCCTGCAAGGGAGCAAACCCTTGATGTCCAGTTTCGATCAACGTCCTCGTGGATTTTTGCTGTTCCCAAGATTCTTCTGGTCAGAGATTACAGGTGGGAGCCGAGGCGAGTTATGCTGAGTCAGGGAAAATGGAAACTAACAATGGCTGTTACTGCTTCGGACCTCTTTGTGGTATGAACTTGTTTGTTTCCTCAGTTGTTTCAACAAATGATTTAGCACTTAAGTCATTTATTAAGAAAAAAGTGAACAATCATATACAGAACGCGTAGGTCTACATTTTTGTCGGCCACAGTGTTAAAGACTGTAGAGTATTGAAGAACAAAGGGTTATTACGTTCTTTCCGCACTCCCTCCCTCCCTGGAACCTTTCTTCAATTGTATCCACTATGTTTTCAGACGCTCACACAGTGGCCCAGGCATGACTGTTAAACTGTACTAGGCTAAATATGTTGTAGGTAAATCACATTCTAATTATAGACCAAAATTTCCTACTTGTCTCTGAATAATTAGCGCTAACGAGAGAAATAGGCTGAATACTGGCTTGACCTGAAAACGGATTTTACCCACAACATACGCATGCGTAGAATTTTTTTTTTCTCTGATGCCGGTTTCTATTTAATTTGTTTGTAAATTTAGGCAGTTGTTATGTATTTATTTTACAATCATTTTTCAAACCAAATTTCCTTCTGTTCAAAGTTACCCTCAGCTGCTACGGCTTGTTATTTTTAGCGTTATGTTATGTCATGTCAGGGTGTTAGCCCAGTCCGTGGATTTTCCTCAGTCTTCTTTCTTGTTAACCACACAGCGGTTTTTTGTATGATGAGTTCAGTTGACCTTGATCCTTTAATCATCTACTTTTTTTTACCTCTGAATACTATACTTGGCCTCCTCTCCTCGATTCGCCTCCAATGTTCACACATCGACGACTTCTATTACCAGGACTATCTGGTTTTACTACCAGAGGAATACTACAGTCCGCGGAACCTCGCGCTTAAAGTAACCAAACCTTGTAAACTAAGCAGAGATGAAAGGTACTGTGTTCACTACACTTACCCCACCCTCAAAAAGGAAGGAATTGTCACCATCCAGGCGGAGGATAGCTCTGTTGTTGGTGGAATAAGAAGAAGTGAGCGTGTTGGTGATGTTCCGTTTCAAGGGCGTCTTCTGAGCGGTTCACGAGTAAGTTGATTAATAGTGAGAAAAATAATCAGCTGCATATTAATGTAGCCTGCGTCGCCCACACTAACTCCCTGATAGAGTTCTGTATCTTCTCCAAGTCCGGCTGCAACACAGGCTATATTGACGCAGAAAACTAAGTCGTCTGGTCATGTTACGGGCCGAGGCTAGATATCCCAAAAACCTGCAAACATTTCCAACCAAACCACACAGTAATTTTTGGGGAGTTATTATAACTCCAAAAATGGAGTAAAAATTTTAGGTACAGGAGAACCCTTTTTATGGGCTTACTTTAAGTCCTAATTTAACTCCAAATTTGGGGTCATTTCAGTTTACTCCTGAAAAGAGTTCTTTTTACTCCCAGTCTGGAGAATTAGTCTGGAGATAACATAACTCTGAGAATGGGGTTATTTTTCTCCTTACATGGGTTGTTTTTACTCTTTTTGGAGTTAATTTAACTGTGAAAGTGGAGTAAAAATTTTAGGTACAGGATAAGTCCTTTTTGGGGTTATTTTAACTCCTCAATATCTGGGGTCATTTTAACTCCTGAAAAAGAGTTCTTTAAACCCCTTTTTGGAGTTAAAATAACTCCCCAAAAATGACTCCAGTAGAGGAGTTATTATAACTCCTTGAAAATTACTGTGCAGAAAATATAAACCTCTAGTTGCTCGTTTTGCTTTCTTATGCGCTTTCTGACCCTGGCAGAGAGACATGATCATGAACTGAGGTTGCCTTACGTGGCGTCCACATAGAAGCACATGTACAGTGGTATAGCCGCTACGCATTGCGATTGGTAATTAAAAGTCAGGTACTGACTTGCTCGCCCGCTTTTTACCGCGCTTATATTTGATTTGAGCTCCGATTGGTTTATTTGATTGAGTGCTTCTTTTCTGATTGGTCAGAAAATAAAACTCATTGGGTTTGGTTTGTGATACTCAGTCGGCCATTTTAGCTTGGTTTGTTTGTTTCCCCACGTTTGCGAGGAAATTTTCCGCCGTTTTTTTTTTAATAGAATACCCCCGCGTGATTGGATTGAAATTTCAAAGAAACAGTTCTCTAGACTAACTTCACGTGGTCTGAACTAGGTAAACAAACACTTTTATTGAAAAAAACTCTATCACTTGAGAAGGGCGGCGAGGCGCTAAAAGCTGCTGAAACATGAGCTTATTTTGGTACAAAAACTCTATCGTTTTATCTATGAGTAATTGAATCTGGTTGTTATACTTAGAATGTGATGTCCGTACGACTTCCGTCCACCGTGCGAGGCCAGTTTGTGTTGCTGGCCAGCTACTTTTACAATTCCGATCATAAGAGGCGACTGAGCGTGGTTGTTAGAACCGGCGACGAGATTTTTAGAGCTCAAATGACTATTTTGTCGTGCAGGTAAGGCAGAACAATAAGTGGCCGTTTCTGTATATAAGGTTCAGCACAAGTTAAGTCTTTAGAAAGTTACCTTCTATCTTGAGCCTCAAACTACAGTCATTTAACAAATTGACGCAATTTTCGATGTGCCTGTCCTCTTATTAGTAAGTAAGTAAGAAACTTTATTTAATCAGGGTAGCACATTCCGTAGCGAGGCTGGTATCCATAGGGGCCCTGAGAAATAAACATATCTGTAAATTTAAAAAACAGTTCCTAAGTTATGAACACGATTCGAATAAACAATAATACTCTAAAAGATCTAACTAAGTTTATATAATAAGTTGGCGCTCCTGAGACAAGAAATTAAAATCATAAGATAAAATACCTTATCAACCCTGAATTAAACATAATTCGGTAAAACATCGAAATTTGGCAAATGACCGCGTCTTGCATAAATTATTTTAGGTGTCTGTACTCTTATTGATCATTCATTTCTCATTTACTAAAATCTTTCGGAAACTTCCATGGAAAGATCCATTGAGTGAAGAACGTGTTCCACTTGACACAAGTTCCATTCGCTTATGCTCTCGTCACCAAAGATGATGGCACAGATATCGCCGTGAAAAGCCAGAAACTGGTGATTCCTTGTGAAAACCCGTAAATGAAACATGCTGTAATCTTTGGTTTTCGTTTTAAGGTATCGTTTTGGCTGTCGGCAAGTAGCCATTGACTCAAACCATGGTGCTTACGTGTTCACCGCAAAACCAGACGAAATAACTACAGTCAGTTTAACATTGAATTTCATGGTCGCTTTGGTGAGTCGAAGTAGTGTATCAGATGCATGCAGGTACTGCATGAGACACACCCTCGTTTCCCTCGCTCTCGCTCCGCACACTGCTCTTGCTCGCGTTCCGTTTTCTCGTGTGAGTAGTATAGGGCGTACCGGATACTCCTTTTTTCGCGCAGGAATCTCATTAACTTGCACAGGAATACATTAAGGCCGATCACGTGAATAAAATGAGGTGGATTCTCATTGTTTTCCATTTGCGTATTTTGAATTCAATAGAAACAATAGACTCACATAACCTTGACCGGGTTAACTTGTTTGTTATTTTTCCTTCACCACCACCACCATCACCTTTCCACTGTTTTCCCCCAACTACCACCACCACTACGTCGACGCTGCATCGATATCACATCGACCCTTCGTTGAACTTACATCGATACCACAACAACCCTACATCAATACCACATCGACCCTACATCTATGGAGATCCAGGAGGGTGTTATCCGTCGAGGCCCCCAGCATGTGGATAGGGAGGAGAGAAAAATAGAAATGTGGCGGTGATGGTCGTGGAGGAGGGAAAACAAATAAAAAAGAAGTGATGAGGAGGGGCGAAAACAATAAAAATGAGGAGAAGGGCGGAAAGCAATAGAAATGAAAAGGTAAGAAGGAGGAAGAGGGAGAAAAATAGAATTGTGGTTGTGGTGGTGGTGGTGGTGGTGGAGTCAAAGGAAAGATAATGAGAATCCACCACCTTTTTTAATACGGTCAACACAAAAGGCTATCACATGATTGATGTTAATGTCATTCCTGCGCAAGAAAGGCCTAACCGGTGCGCTCTATACTACTCATGTGCCTGCGATTTTGAAGTAGTGAATGGAAATGCCCGTCTTTGCATTAATAAGCCATTTTTTCTTGGGTAAAGCCTTTGACTCAGGCGTTGAGCTACTTGATACTAAATAGGCGCAACCTTTTGGCAAGTGTAATATCCCTTGATGGAGTTGCGGATGGAAGAAGAGCAAAATTTAAAATGCAGTCGTTGGGTTAGCAAACATAAGAGACATTGTCTCATAACCCAAATCAAAGGGGTTTGGAAAAGGATTGTTTTGTTAAGGGAAAGAACGAAATATAAAAAAAGTTGGTTTAAATGACCGGTTCATGATCGATCTATTTCAGGACTTTATCTCTGCTATTCCATTGTCCATGTGGAACGAGAAGCTTTTAATCCCAGCTGAACAGTGTGTTGATAATGGCTTCTCTTGTATTCAAACATCTTATCCTGATCCATCTGATGCCACGAAAATTGAAGTTGAAGATCGTTCCACTGGTGGCGATATAGCACCGTACTACATAATGGATCGCAGGGCGAGATTAAAGCATGTTAAAGTTGGCAAGGTATGAAAAAACCCGGCTTTAAATTGGCATTCAACTTTACTTTTCCGAAAACTATTTTCGATACTTTCCAGCATCATCTGATAAGGAGAAGTCCTTTTTCTTTTTGTTGCTCTTTTGTTTTTATTGTCGTAACCTTTTTGTTTGCCCGCATTCATCCCAATGACTTTCCACAAACGCCTGTTTGGTTGATCACTCAGCTCAGAAGTACGAACTCGTGGCAAGCTCGGCCACTTTTTGTGGTTCATGTAAAACGAGTCCTGTAGATCAAATCAGTGATGTCGAGTGTATCCTTTGCTTGGTGCTTGGCGAAAATGAGTTTTATTTGCATGAGAATAAAGAATCATTTTCATATCAATGGCTTTGCACTTTGCCTCGCTTAATAAGTAAACAAAAGCTCTGCGGCACGTGTATGAGACCGGCTGTTGGGAATATTTCTTTTACGCGCTTCATCACTACGACATGAAATTCCTCATGTAAGGTTTTCTTTCCTTTTTTTTGTTACCTGATCTTGGAAACGGTTCTTAAGAAGTCAGTTTCAGGATACTCTCTAAACATTTGACAGACTGAGCGATAATCGCGCATGACGCAGGCTGACCAATCCATTCGTTAAGAGAACTGATTGCACTATTGGGCCTATCAGCCAGATCAGTCTGTTCCTAAATAGTACGCATAGCAGTGATGGATTCTTAGCGATAACTCGGGAAAATCTTATTTCATTTTCTAAGTAAATTGATTGGTCCCGCTGACCAGTTCTGACTTTTGGTTAGCGCCTTAGAGTTCATAATAGATACAAGACTTCACGGAAACGTCATTATAAAGTAAATTTGCGTTCTTTCAATAGCTACAGAGAAACTCGTGCAGTGGGACATAAGCTCGCGGTTTAAATCTCGATGACGACTGATTTTTTTTATGTGCCACCTTTATGACATTAGGAATACAACGCCTTTAAGATCCACCAACGATCTTGTCCCTTGTCTTCAACTATATTGCAACCATTGAGTTCATTATCTGATAAAACCGAACTTAGGCTTTAATAACAAGACACCGCACCTGACTCTAGTTAACACGTGCCTCTTTTTCTTCCTTTTATTCTTAGAAAACCGTTTTTATCCATGGAACAGCTCGTTCCGGGCGCTATTACGTCATCGTGCATTTCTACCAGCCGAATTTCCTCACATTCCCTGGAAAAGTTATTGTTAGTGGACAGAACGCTGCTACAACCCTGTTTACATTCCGCCATTGTCCACACGTGTCTGGGTGTCGGGTCATAGGCACGTCACAGTACAGAGAGGGTATAAGCGAATCAATCTACATTGGAAGGCAAAATAATATTATCCTCAGTATAACCATTCCAGAGGACAAGGGACTCTGGATTGTAAGTGATAAGGAAATACGAATTAATTTTGCTTTATGACGTTAGCAGCGGGAAAGCTCGTCACGAAACAACAATCCGTTTAAAGAAAAGAAAGGTGTGTCTTTCTTAGGCAATATAGAAAGCGCTAGCCTTATTTTATGGCTCAGTTCTGGCGTGCTCATCGTACAAGGCATTTGTCACGTTTTTTGTTTCCACGGTGGTGCATATGTCATTGGGGTCGGCAGGCGGATGGGTCAAATGTAATCAGTGATTACATTTGAGACAAATGTTACTTATGCATTACAGTATTATGGCATGGAACTATTACCGTCTTTTTGAATCACGAAATCAGTGCTTTCATTTAAGACAAATGTTACTTACGTTAAAATTATCCTCGCCATTTTAGGGTATTTAGAAAAAAATTTGGAATGATATAGTTTCTTCAGTGTTCAGCCACGAGCATGAATTGAGAAGGAAAGACTGAATACCAGATATATAATGAATTAAGGGTGAATCTTGAAAATTGCCTCAGAAAAGTTGATTTTAGGAAGTGACGCACTCTATGTTTTGTCTTATATTTCCGATACAACCACTACCCAAAGTTCTGCGAATCATTTTTGTCCTTTGTGTTCTAGGATTACGTGATGTTGGTTCCACTGTCATCTTTTTCTCCATCACTGCTGGAAATTAAACCCATCGATGTTAACAGAGACTTCATCCAAGACTGTGGCCAAAACGATTTCTATTTAAAAGAATCTTCTTCAAAATTCTGTCTCACCTCCACCTTCACAATCACGTCAAAATTCAACAATGGCGCTTTACCGTGCCAGTGCGATAGACTGGGCTCTTCTAAAACTGGCTGTCGCGCATTTGGAGGACAATGCAGTTGTCGGCCGAACGTGATTGGTCGAGCATGTGACAGATGTAAAAGTGGTTATAGCGGGTTTCCTCTTTGTCGGAAACCAATCACTTAACCATTACATAGGACTTTTGACTGTAGCCAATAACCATCGTACCTGCCTAACGTAAAATACATTTGTATATGGGACGCCGCATTTTTACGCCGTAATGTTTATAAATTTGTGTCATTTAAACGTAATTTTATTGCTATACATACTTAATGAACATTAAAGCGCTCTTACCAAAGACAGAGTTGTGAGTGTATTTTTAGTATAGCACCTCGTCAGGTTCCTTTAGCGACTACAGAAGTAGAAAAAGAGAAAGTGTTCACCAGAAATATGCTCCCCGAGGGAAGGCCTTCCATCTATTCAAATCAATAGCCTACGTTCGATATACTAAAATTCTAACATGACCCCGAGGCTTTAGGGTCAAAATTATTAACTTTAATTATTAGTCCTGCTGCTTTTTTTACTACGTACTATTGTAAGATTTTTTTTTTAATCTTGAAATAATTTATAGCTGCACATAGGTTTATACTCAGCTTATGTATTCTTTGCAGAACAAATAAAGTATTTATTATTATTATGAACGGCAAATTTTTCAAGACTCCACTGTCTCGCAATTCCCTAAAGAGACCTGAGCATAAAGAAAACCAAACCAAACATAGAAAAATGACCAGAAAGCCTCGGAGTCATGTTAGAATTTTAATGTATCGAACGTGGCCTATTAAATGTGCCTAAATTGTAATTAACCCAAGGTTAACCTCTAGACACCTAGGGGATCAGTGGTTGAGCCCCAGGCAGGCAGGCCCGTGCGGGGCGGCCGCTGGGTCTGCAGGGGCTTACAGGTGATTGCATAACTCAGTGTTGCGGATCTTAGCGCGGCATTCAGCCATGAAGTACGCGCCTCGTAGCGGATCATTGCGATTCACGACTTGAGATATTTTCTTGTTTCTGTTCCCACTCCCCCCACCCTTGGATATGTAAGTATGGGTTGTGGTAAGTATATCACTGAGCTTTTTCAGTGTGAGACGGTGCTGGGTGGTTGGCGCTCGCTTGGCTGCCATGGTTACCTCGGAGGTGATGCTGCCGTTTGCGCAATTAGGTTGGACACCTCATGTTTATTACACAACCGTATACTCTTCGTAGATAACTATTTGTGACTGTATATGTTTGGCAAATTTTTGAGAAAAGTGGGGAAATCAGAGTAAGGGACAGTTGTGCAAGGAAAAAAGTTGAATACGGGGCTTAGCACAGAAGTACGGTGACTAGAGTCAAACACTCTTTTAAAAACGGTTAGCTTTCAACAATATAATGATCAATGTCATATTAACTGCCTTAAAATTAACCGATGTCGGTTGTTAGCCCTTGATGGTGTGGTGGATACGGAGGTGGATTATACATCAAATGGCCCGGGGCTGGGCTGGATTCCCAGGAACTCATTCCGTGTTCTTAAACGAAGCTTTTTACACTCTTTATCCATCGGTTGCGTGATCTACTTTATTATCACAACCGGCTCCATCTAAGCTTCTCCGCCGAGAATGAAATTCTCTTTCTTTCATGTTGTGTAGCGACATACAACAAAAATCGAGTGGGCAGTTGGTTGATATAACAAAGATTTCAACTTTACTTTTAATGTTGAAGATTATGCTGTTACCACTACATTAGAACCTTGACTAACGAAAATAATCACTACGTTCCCCTTCAATGTCTTTTCGACAAGCCATTCCTTACATTCTGTCTCTAGATTTCATTCAAAATCCGACCACTTTTATCCTTTCCGTTTTAAATATGAAAAACCCATTTCACACGGAACACCTAATGTTATACCATCTATTTCGTGAAATGATTACAAGACATAAAAAGGTGAAAAACAAAAACGCAATGATTTGACTTTGAAAAGTGGTAATGATCCGAGTGGGACATTGAGGATCACAAAATGGTCAAATAAGCAAATCTGTACTGCTGTATGGAAGGGCCTCGTACCAACACGATGCACTCTTTCGTTGAACATGTAGATAACAGTTTTACAAGACCCGGAAGAACACAAAATGCCACACCGAACCCACATCCGCGAGAAAGCGAGTAATGACCCGAGGAAACAAATCCCAGAGTTTCCCTCGTACAAGAATTTCTCAAAGATTTTTCAGCTAACTGACCCTTTGGACCTTTGTGCAGAGGTTCTAAGGGTCCAGCAAAATTCTTGCATTTTTGAAGTTTTGAAATGTCCTCCGATGAAGGAATCACCACGGAGGAGTTTGGTACCGGCACAATCCGCTGGACCATTTGCAACTGTACGCATACAAGAGAGTTCAAATCACTAACGACAATAGAAGATAACTTGGATTCGTCCAAAGGCTTGGAAGGATTATTTGTCGCCTTACTTTGTTTTGCATCTGCCATTCGCTTCTGTTTATGTCGTAAAGCGTAGCATCGTAGAGCAGATAACTTAGTGCGAGATCGTAAAACGTAGAAAGGTTGCACAGTCTTGCCAGTTGTTTGATTAGAGTTATTTTCAATGCCAGTGGTTTTGGTGGAATCACAAGTGATTCTAGTCTGTGCATCTTTAGACAGGGATGATTTGACCAAAGACTGGTCACTAGAAACACCTTGAGAAGAGTCACTGGACGTCATATCAGTTTCAGGGTTAACAATAGAATCGTCAGTCAAACTGCTAGATAACTGAAGAGTCTGGACAACAGAGACGTCCATCTGAGCAGAATCACTAACAGACGGATCAATTCTAGTGGAATCGCTTTTCTTATTACTCAGCTCCCCTGCAATAGTAGATGGTTTGTTCAAAGAATGCCAATCTTTGACAAGCTCTCTCCATGGTGGACTGAACGGAGATTTTACACCTAACCTCTCATAGTTCGGCCTCTTTGAAGGCGGATATCGCTTATATTGGGCTTCACTATCATCTTTTAACTTGATGTTGTACGCTTCCCCGGCTGGTGTGTCCGGAAAGTCATTTGGGAAAAATGGTACTCCAAGCTCAAGGGCTGAAGTTTGACTCTCTTGCAGTCCCCCAGTTCTAGCACCACGGTAAACAAGAGCCATCCAAAAAGCCATGGCCCATCCGGAAGGGAGAATTATGTCCCATCCACTGCCGTATCCATTGTTAATAAGGGTGCCTCTGTCATTATCTAAAACATTAAAAAAAGAAGCACGTTCCTTTAGCCTATTGTTACAATCTTTTTCTTTTTGCAGTTGAAATATATTGTAATGAATATCTTTAAGTAAAATAACGAAAATCTAAAGTCTGTATGTTCACATAAGTTAACTGGGACTCATTCAATCAGATATCACTGGCCTTTGCCGCGAGTTTATTGAAACGGCAAGAAAAATTAATTGACCGAACACAAATTTTCGCATCATCGTCACACACGCACCGGCTTTTCACTGACTCTGATGGAGACTGTGGTACGCTTTACACATCTTGAAGACTGCATTTCTGTCGCCAAGGTGGGCATCATTACTTATGTATGAAACCATTAAAAATTTCATTAGAAAATTGGGCGGAGCAATGATACCTGAATTTACAATGTGGTGGTTTACTACGTATTAGAACCCCTTACGAGTTTCTGGTATTAGAGAACTTGGCATTCTACTACCAAGAAAAAATGGCCTTAAATCAAATCAATATATAAATGTTATTTCTAACACATAGAAAATCCTTTTCGCAAAGGAAACAAAAGTTTTTGAAACTGAATTAATTTGAATTCACTCACCAGAGCAGCCAGGTCGCTGTATAAGAAGCAAAGGAATATGCGAAATCTCATTCTCGCTTAACTTCAGTCGGGAGCCTGGTACTAGCAGCTCAGACCTCTTTCGATTTAATTCCTGCTCCGGTATTTTACTTTCCTTGACCTCAAGACGAACTGACGCGTCCCAAATAGGCGAGTTCGCGACATCATTTGGCCAGTGGGATAGTATTTGCTCAAATGGTGCCGGTTTCGTCTTTTCTAAGGTATTAACAGTTTCGTCTAAAGTGAAATCTGTTTCATCACCAGAGTCTGAATTGTCTGCAACAGAAATAGAGGTATTAAAGGGCAATTGTCTGTTCAAAGAGTACTTACTTAAGTTTTAGAATAGCCCCTTCATCAGTCATGGCAAATATTACAGGCAAAATCAAACAGGGCATTTACCGAAATCAATCGTTTAAGGACAATACAGGCGCGTATCTTTGTGTACATCATATTAAAAATGCGAGAACTTTTAAAAATTTATTTGAAATCGACGTTGATACCGTTGGGGCCCATTTCCCTTTCGTAAACAGTCGTTGCCACCATTAGTAACCAAGCCTTTACTCATGATAGATGTAATATATTCCCTGAATTAAGTTACAAAAAGGCAAAAAATACGATTTCGAATAGTGTTAGAAAGAACGACGTTGGAGTTCAAGTTGAATTTACGTTAAAAATTATGGAAAGGGCTACGGTCACCTGTTATTGATGTGACAGTTAAGAAAGACAGTTTGTTAGTGTATTTACTTAAATTTTGGCAGGTCGGTGTGGTAGTGTAGTGGTAAGGGAGAGAGAGTAGGCTGTTTTAGCAACAGGACGGGAACGTCAGTTGGCGACAGGGAAAGCGCACGGAAAGGACTAAACACGACTTCCGGTGCCCAAATTGCCGCTCTGCCATTGGTCAAGCCAGTTGTTTGATTTGCGCGCGCCGTTGTCAACTGACGTTCCCGTTCTGTTGCTAAATCTGCCTATTACAATACGAGGATTCTGGGTTCAAGGCCGAGTTTGACCCTAGGATGTGATCTTCTTTCTTTTTCATAGAATCACTCTCAATAACAGGTCAAAAATAGCAGTGACCGTTTACGAAAGGGACAACTGCGCCGCTGGGGGCAAATGTTGGGGCGTTGTCTGATCGCTGTCCCACCCTTCATCTGCCCATGTCCCAGATGAAGATGTTGTGATAGTAAAAAAATGGTAGGGCAAGGAATTAAAGGAGAAGTGTTCACCCTGACGATGCCGTTGATCGGTGAACCTCAGTTTTCAACTTTTAATTTCAATTATAGCGGTTTAAAAAAGGCAGCCTCATTCGAATATATTTTTTATATATTTCCCATTGTCTAATGTTTACAGGTTGGTTCTCTGAGCCAGGGCCTTAACTGACAGAGTCACTTTCCAGTCAGTTTAGGGAGTCTGGTGTAACGGGGGCCAAACAGGAGCGGAGAAGGAATAGTCTCTTTCTCCTTTTTGCCTTCTCCCACAATAATTGTAAGAAGCAACGCAACAATGCTGATCAGGAAAAACAAGAAGGCCTACAAAAGATCTTACTTATTAGAAAAAGTTTATAATAAACGTACATGTAAAGAACGAGTGAATGTCTGAAAGTAAAATGCAGCATCTAAAATAATCTTTTAGCCTGTCCACTGATGTTCATTTTTTTTGTCGACGAATTTTGCAAACACGAGAGAAAAAAAAGAACAGAAAGAAATGTCTAACTTCTCATTTACCCACTCCACCTTCGTTAGCTAGTGGTCAATAAATCCCCTAGGCTCGTGAGATCAGTGAAGGGGATAGTAAACTTTTGAGTATCGTCTTACCAGAATGGATTCCTTCAGCCACACTTCTAATGCTAATCTTCTTTACGGGAAGATTCAGGCGTGGATCCAGCACAGTAAGACCAAGGACACACCCTGGGGGTAGTACTGAGGGTGAGCTGGCTTGCTTTAGTCTGCTCCATAGTTCATTTTGAGATGACAATTTGGTTGAACTCCCTTGCAGCCTTTGCCACCATTTTAAAGAAATGTTGAGATTCTTGTCGTTGAAAAGGGCTCCTGAATCTTGATTGACAATTTTTTCTGGAGGTGTTTTTTTACTTGAATCAAAAGCTGGTGTAATTGCGGATGTGAAAACGGCATGTGATTGTGGTCCTGTCAGACGAAAACAAAGCAAATCAAATCGACGTGAGACAACCTTTATCTCGCAGTGTTCAATATCATTCAACAGCTGAATATTATCACCGTTGGGTTGGTCTGAGTTAACATTAGAGTTCATCTTGGCAGCTCCAGGAAATTTGGAATCCGTTTCAACCACACAACTCCCTACATATGAGCAAGCTTCAGTTATGGAATCAAATACTGAGTTAAAACTTGCAGGATGAGACCAAATCCACAGTTGAGAATTGTCACAGTGACTATCAAAAGTGTTTTCATTGACGGTTCCTTCCTCTATTTCCAATTGTGATGTGTCTACGTTGGCTTCAGTATCTGAGCTTTTTCTTTGCCTCCAGAGAAAAGAAACAGGGCCAATTGCTCCTTGGGGGTATTGATCAAACTTGTATAGTACAGCATTCCCTTGGCGTGTTCCATTTAAATAGTATTTAGCAGCAAAAGTTAGTCCTAAGAGACAAAAAATAACGCAGCATAATACATAGATGAAACTTCATATTATGTTTGAGATACTGGAGAAAGATTTAACAAAAGAATCATTACAGTTCAGTAGTAAGAGTGTATGTACACAACTTACGCAGCTGTGAAAAGAAAGCCTGAAAAAATCATGCTTGAAAGGGATTCAGACTCATGAGATATGTGATACTGGTGCAGTGCTCTTACCACAAACATATCACGTTAGCTGGGAGCTACATGTAGTGACTTTGAAATTTTCTAACAATAATTATATCCACAGAAGATGAATGATGCTAACTACTTCAACTGCATGAAAAAGATTTAACATATGAAAGATAACTGTACTGCAGTGAGTTCACTATGCTTGTACAAAAGACACAGTAACAAGTTTGTGAATGAGCTCCCTATGGGTCAGTGACTCTTCAGTGTCTTGATCTGCTTGACAATTTTAACTACATTAATTTTGTGCTACACAATATAGTTTTAACATCTGAGTCTGCAGAATGAAGTTATTAAGAGTGACCCTTCTAAATAGCAGCTTTAAAGCAATAAAGGGCTGAAAAAACTAAGCATTTTTTTAACTCCTTATGTTTTCATTCATGGTTCATTTTTTGCAGATAAAGAATCACCTTTAAAGTTTTGTTGAGAAATTGAGTGCAGTTATAATTTAAAGATACCTGCTTCTTGGTTTGTTAAATGACCCATGGCTTGAATAATCTGGCTCTTAGCACCACAAACTTCAATACATCCATAATATGAAATGTCCTACCAGTAAAGAAACACAAAATTAATATCATTCTGACATTCAGTGGCATGCAAATGAGGAAGAACTTTGTGTCCTCATGTAAAAAATGCTCCTGTATCACTAAGGCCAGAAGATGCACATTAAGCATACTTTTTGTAATTACGCTTACAGCTGTACCTGTAACATACAGTTGTTCTTTACAGCCCTATATGCTGCTCTAAATCCTTTATCATTTGGATGATCCGCCAGCCTGTAGCCCCATGCATCAATCATTTTCATTCTCTTGGCATGCCAAATATGGGTCTCAAGCCAGACATGCTCACGCTGTCGGCGAGTGTACTCTTCCATCAAGTTTTTGGGTTTTCGACGATAGCGCCTGCTTTTCTTCTTTGGAACTTCAGAAGTCTTGTGATCTTGTTTATTCATCTAAAGGAAGAAGAAAGCCCCTGACTGTTAGTCCGGTCAGGAGTGGACTGAACCTGGACTTACTGCTTCAAGGTCTAGTAACCAGCCAATTCAGCACATCAGGCAGTGAATTAAATGATAATAATGAATGTAAATGTCACCTTACATATTGGACGTTCCACTTCTGGAATCTCCCCCTCAATCTCCCCCCTTTCAATTTACAATAGGCACCGACAAAAAATCGAGGGTTTCAATTCCAGCCATCTTTAGGGGGAGGGGGTAATGCTTGGGAGTTGATAATGGTACATCCCAATTTACTAGCGCCCATTCCCACACACACCACGTGCCATTTTTTGCCTTAATTTTCATTATGAATTCATTTTTAACCTCAAAGGAAGCTCTTTGGCGTAGCCGAGATGGTATTCGCTTGATATTATGACTCATTGCTCGTCTCCTCATGTGTTTGGGAAGTGTTTGAAACAAACGCTTGCCGCTCAAACTGTCAGCTTCTTTAATGGCCTCCACCATGCTGTTGATTTCCAGGGCGCGAGCCTCGGCGAATTCGGCGGCGTTAATTCCTCTTGACGCTTGAGAGATGATAGCAGGTGTAGAGGACGAAGAAGATGTAAAACCAAGAATCCCTCCCCTTTTCCTTTTCCGACTTCTTTTTTCTTTCACTCCGGACGCTCCAGCTTCACTCGTGGACGCCATCTTGATCCCTGAAGGTGCGTGCATCCTTTCCAGCGGCTACGTTTTTGTTTCAATGCGCAAACAATGTCAAAAGTCAAATGTATCTTGCGCATTGGTTTTGATTTCAATGCCAGCGATTTACCGGCTGCAACTTGGCTGCTACTAGATAATCCTGCTGCTGGAATTTTCCTTCTTCCTGATCCTCTTCTACAACTTCTCTCTGCTGTTCTGTTCTTTTGGTAATGAGATGTCGGTCTTACCATCAGTAATAGTCAATGCAACTTCTAAGCATACGGCTTCGGTGAGTCTTGCTACAATACAAGTTTGCATGTTCTTTTTCTCAATATTAGTGACTTTAATAAATTTACTTCTAACTTTTTTCTCGTAATACTTCATTTTTTTTATCTCCTGCAAGGCTCTTATTTTGGGGTTGTTCATCTCTGAATTTTAACCTTCGTAGAGGATTTACTTCCGTAGTTTCAGTTTGTTGGTTTACATTTGACAAATGGCGTTTATGATTTTGAGGGAGGCTGATAGTCTTTGGTAGAATTATATAGGTGATTTCTCATTGATGCACCGTATCATCGCATAACCTCATACCCTGTAAACTTAACGTTGAGTACTTCATGTGAAAGTTAACTTATTCTCACACCTTGGTAAGAAATAGTGCGATTAGTGTATTTTTGGATTCGTGAACAATATCCCATTGTCTATATATTATCAGAATATTATCCATGGTATAAGATTAAAACTTTGATTTCTTTGACGACTGAATCTCATATGAGGAAGTCCACATTTTTTGCAAACTCAAACTTGTAATGACATAAAAATTTCTTGTTTTGACAGTTGGGTGTACCACTCTTGTTAGAAGTTGAATGTAGCTGACAGTTTAAAGTCATTTTTCTTTTTTAGCGTCTAGGTTATTATTAAATATTCATTGTTATGATAATTAGTGTACAAATAGACATTAAGTTTATATATTCAATATTTAAAACAGCTGACATTAGGAAATTATTCTGGTTAACATGATTACAACCCAGTTTGATTGCTAAGTTAACGCGTTGTATTATATATCTGAAACAAAAAAAATTAAAATAAAACTACAATAATAATTTAACCTAAATTTTATTTTAAAGTACATCATAATGATATAGTTTCTATCTACATGACTGCATAATTTTAACTTACCAAATATGTAAGGAATATTTTTTGTACATGTATGAGTTCTTTCTTTCCAAATACTACCAATAAGTAAATAAATAAGATAAAAAGAGTGTTCTGGGTAAAGTAAATGGGTCCGCTGTAGGTGAAGTATGTGCAATTTCTTTGAAATCTACAAAGAGTGGTGATTACAGTTTATCAATTTAGTATTTACGGTAGTTGCAGGAAAATGAAAGTCGACCTTCTGGTGACTTAAGTTTGAGTTTCTTAGACATGGCTATTTCTCTTGACCACTAACCCATTTTGAGTTAACAACTCGTTGCTCAAAAATTTGCAGTTTATATGGGATTTGAATCCTTAGCATCAGTGGCAGGTACATGTAATACACTCTAGACAATTGAGCTAATAAGCCATTTGGGAGCAGGTCATTAGTCTATTTTAATTGGATATAATTAGCCTGTTTGAATGTCTTATAAGCCCTGAACTTTTCTTGGCCTTGTTTCCACAACCTCCAAAGTTGTGTCTTTACATTAATTCCTCATCCCACAATTCTGGTATATTTTGATTTTCATATACTCGTTGTTAATATCTTCATCATTTTACAGGTTTGTAATGCACCAACTAAATGGCTAGCTCCCAGTTGGCTTGTTAGGTCAATTGGTTAGAGTGGTGCACTGGTTTTACAAAGGTCAAGGGTTTGAATACCATACATGTACAAGCCTGCGTTCTTTCTGACTTTCTTTTAACAAGTGTATTACTCTCTCCCAGAGAATTGAGTGTGCAGTTTTTGTGTGGGGTATCCATTGTCACTTTTGACAAATCTGTAGCCTTCCCATCATGCTTTGTGTTGTTTTTGGTTGTGTTTTTGCTTGTAAACTGGTAAGAAGGCCTTCCAAATGTTGATTGGCGAACACCAAACTCAAGTGGCGTTTTATACTTTGATGCTTTCTTACTGCCAAAATCTAAAAGCTTCAAGCACATTGAACAAAACAAGTTGGTATAGCTACAAACACTTTGTCAAATTACATGTCCTAAGGGCTGATGTTTCATTGGTCAAAAGTGACATGTATAACTACATACCAGTGCTTCTCCTAGGTCGCAGAAAAAACTCAAATTTCGCGGGATTTTTAGAGTCAAATTCAGGGAAAAAACATCCTTTTTTGCGGGAATTTTGGGGGAAAATTTTGCTGACAAAATGTTTGGTTTTCCACAGATTTGACAAACATTTTTAATGAAAATAGACCGCAATTTGAATTTTGTGGCTCTGCGACGACGTGAAATAATCTCAGAAGCCCTGACATTCAGGCAAAACAGTTAGTGTTGTTGCTTAATAACAGGTTGTATTAATAGTGTTGCATAACAATCTCCAATAGCAACTTATAGCAAGCAGTTCTTTAGGGCCTTGGAGAAACTCTGGGAATTAATATACTATAATAAATAAAAGAGTACATAATGTAGTCAACATAAAGTACAAGGTTTACTGAAGGCTTGACCACATGGTAGGACTATGTAGGACAGTATTTTTTTTAAAAAAAAAATGCAAATTAATTTAGGGCTCATAAAAATAAAGAAAAGCTGATTATGTCATATTGTGTTGTTTTAGTTGATTTTCCTTCATGGTCTTGGAGATACTGGGTAAGTAAGTAATGTATTTATCATGGGTTATGTAACCTTTTCTTTGGGGTGTTACATGGTATGCTGTTCTGTTGCTTCATTAGCTGTAGGCTATATATTTGAGTTGTTCTCATTTATATTCATTCGCGTCTTACGACCGTCCCTACGCCCTCAAAATTAAATACCCAGTGACCAGGGGTTTCTCTTAGACGTAGTGTTTTGCATGCTGCTATATGAAAAGTTTAGCACGTTTTGTATGAATCATTGTTATACGAGCATAGTTTAGATCATTTTGTTGGGTTGTTTTTTCTTGCTGTAATTTTTTACATTTCCGAGTTTTCATTCTGTTTGTTGTATTATTTCCATCCATTCTGTTGATGAAGGCATAATAAAGAGGGTCGCACACGGCTCGTGTTGACACACCCCAATTGAGGTTGCTTGTTACATGATAAATGTTTTATATTCGTTTGAGCGGGGTAGCGAATTAGAATATAAATGTTTTTATAGTAAAGACATAATTATCTACTCTTCCAGAGATGTTACATTAAAGCAAATTAATGTGACCTGCGGTATAACTTAATATTCATTTTTAATTGCCTGAAACAGGATGTTGAGTCCCACTCCAAAGCAGTGAATAGCCAATTGTATTCTGTGTTTCAGGAGCCAATGAAAATGCATGAAAAATTGCTATCCATTTGATTTGGTAAAATACCACTTCAATAATAAATATTATGAAATATTATGTACACTGTAACCACTTCATAGCCAAAGGATACATTTCTACATGTTATTGGGAATTGATTATTCTGTTAAACTTTGTTTTCTTTGTTAGACATGGTTGGAGTCAAGGATTCAGTGGTTTAGGAATTAATCATTTAAAATCTATTTGCCCAAATGCGTAAGTACCTCATAATATTATATTATTATGTTAGTTTCAGTAGAACCATGTACAGTACTTCTTGTATTCCTGAGTTTAATGTAATAAATTTTCTAGTGAATTTACTTGTAATTTGCAAGTGAAGCCATTGTTTTAGAGTCTTAAAACAATAGCTACACTTGTACAATACACTATCTTGTAGGTGTTTTATTAAATTGACCCCACTGCTACAGTTTTCTAAAGGCACAAATAATTCCCCTGGGGAGGGGGATGGATAGACTGTCAAATTCACTGGGCTATGATTTGGTACCTGAAACATTGCATGTGAAAGTTTTTTTACTTCACATTTGTTAATTGAGCAAGTTGATACATGTAAGCAGTGTCCATACCATGGGTGACTGTCATTTCTACTGAAATGATAACTCCTACAATGTACATATTCTTCATGATGAACTATTACATTCCCACTTGAGTGGTGAAGAATGGTCTATCCAAAAATGGCTAGTCTCACAAAATATAACACAAGTCTCACATTCTCTTGTTCATTTGGGAAGAGACTCTTGGAATCTTAGGTCTACCACTACTTGTATGAGGTGTTGTTTTTTTCTCTTGACAGTTTTCAGTTCACACATCTGAGCTTTAGTTAAGTCTTGGTCTTGAATTTAAAATGATGAAGGGAAATTGTTTTGTCGCAGATATTTTTCTTGCCAATTCTCATATTATTTTACCATAATAATACCCCTTTAAGGTGATTCACTGGTTTTGCACTGCGCATCTCTTTCTGCGCATGGCTGCTGTGAAAAAGAGCATCTAAAGCAACATTATTAAAATGAAGTTAACTAAAGAGAAACGCCATAAGAATTTTTGCTAGCGGTCGTTTCTTGCCAAAATGAGACTCTATGTGTTGGGAATGTGCATAACGTAAGCAGTACGCGTGTTGTTTAGTTCGACTTCCTCACAGAGAACCTCGATAATAGAAGTTAAACTCCTACTAACTCACTTTGATTTTCTTTTAAGTGCCATCTTTATCACTTTGCGTCCTAACTGTGATATCTCGATGTAAATTCTGTAAAAATGGATTTTTTAATGCTTTCTTTCCCCTTCCACACACATGCCATTTTGATACTCGCCCCAGTCCTCTCTCAAAAATCGGAGAAAATGCATGTGGTGCACACTTTCTGCAGCTCTGCTGCAATAAGGAGTACGGTGACCCCCATATTTTATTTCATGAATTTAATAAGAACAGTGCTTCCTTTCAATGAGAAAAAGTATAGGCATGAATCTATGTTAAGTTTTTTGACAATTGTACTAAATTGTGTGGATTGAGCTAGAATGGGTCCAGAAGCATGTCAAAATTAAGTCTACTTTGGAGCGTAAAGTAAAAACAGGGGCCAAAAAAGGCATTTTTCTGGTATGTAAGTGGATAAACAATACATTTAATTCAAATTCCGTGCAATACCACGTGCATCATCTAAAAAATCTCTCCTTTTTGTCTAGTTTTGGGCTGGGTGGGGTTTTTGCCAAAGGGTTCTAAATAGACGTATTTGTCAGCATTGTGACATCAAAATGAGCACGGCGACCCCCACTTTTTATTACTTTTTTATCATCTTCTTGACTTGTTACATCAGTGCACCAAGTTTCATCTACATTCTATGTTAGGGCCTTTTACTAAGGAATCACCTTAATGCACTCTTGAACATTTTGTAGATCAGTTATTCCAGTGACATTAAATGCAGGATTTAAGATGCCAGCCTGGTAAGTGAAATGTTACAACAGGAATTTTAATGAATTATTTGTGAACATTCATGCCATGCTTGAGGCTGAGTTTTAGAGCTCACACCAGAGCCATATCCCATGGTGATTAATCCATACTGTTGTCAAGTACAAGTATGGTAATAATTATCAGTTCACACATTCTGTTGCACAATAAGTGTTTACATCCAACCAAACTAAGGGTCACAGTTGTAGACTTATTGCTGTCTTAATTGTTGCTATTCAGTGATGTATTGAATGATAGTATTATTATCTGAAGGGCTCCAGGCCAGGGCGTGTTTGTGTTACAGCTGTAGTTTCCTAATTTTTTAATGCATGCTAAATTTAGGTACAAAGATTTTTACTTGTCACTTGTTTTTGCATTAAGGAAGCGTTGTAGATACTGTTAACATTTTCTCAACGATTTCCACTATTCTATGTGTTGGCAGAAATCACATATGCAAAAATGTCTACTTTTCTGGTTGTTTCTCCTGTGATATGTCACGGACTTGCATATCAAAACAATGTGTTTAACCAAACACTGAAACATTTTAACTATTATTTGGCAGTAGTGAGTTGATGCAACATGACAGCAAAAAGAGGAGGACAGCAAATGCTTGTGTGCGACAAACTTGACATGGCTCTCACTGTACTTGCATGTTTTGTTGTGATCTTAACTGAACACTACTGTGTTTTGGCCTCTTTCAAAAAGATCTATCAAAAGAAAGGAGAAGTTCGGCGGAAAGTTTTTTCAAACAGTCATAATTATTCTCGTGCTTGTCAAACACAATTTGCTCTCTTCTTTCCTCCCCCATCCTGTTGTGTAAGTTCACTAATATCTGTGGCTAGCATGCAGCTCAGTGCTTGACAGTGGCATCAAAATTGCTTTATTTAACTTCTCAACTGAATTGTAGTATGTGTAGGCCCTTTTTCTAACAATTGAAATAATTTTGCATCATTTTTGTGTGTTTTACATGTATACAGCTATTTCGAGAAAGATTATCGGAAAAAATGTGGACGCGACAATCCCGAAAGGTAATGTGGGATATGATGACTGTAGCTGTCGAACCTACTTTTGTTTCTTTCCTTAAACACTCGCAAACATATTTTCATGGCCTTTTGTGCCAATTCTTTCAAATTTCTCTGAAGAACAGTGAACTCAAAACCACCCACAATGCCTTTCAGGATTGTCACATGCACTTTTTCCGACAACCTTTCTCGAAAAAGCTGTATCCTATTAAATCATATTTTAAGAATTAACAACTAGGAGCTATGGTCTTGAGTGTTTTGGTGTTCTTTGGTGGCATGTCAGCTGTCTGTAGCGCTGTCCCATGACCATGTTAGCGTTTGTAGCATTTACCATTGTTCGTGAGCATGGGGGTAGATTCCTGTCCAGCTCAGTATGTCGCTTCTACACATGTGCAGGCCATGGCAGGTGCCTACATTGTGTTTGCGTTTTACTCAAAGCTTTGTTGGCGTGGCATTCTTTTCTAGTAGCACAGCATTTCTCGTGTTTCTGTCCAAATTTTGGTTGGCATGGTGTATTTTCGTGGCAGTGGAGCAGGAGCTGCAAGTAATCCTTGATGGTAAGCTCGTGGTTTCTTCATCAAAATGCAGGCAAGTGGTAACAGAAGACATTTTGACTTGGACTGAAGCCTTCACTATTTTTCAGATGATGTTGTGTGCAGTTCACCCTCATTGTTGGCCCGATCTGACCATGTATTAGCTGCTTATCATTCAAATGGCAGGTCAGTTCTCCAGTTCAAATGGTGTCTCATCCTCGACCTCTCATCTCCCGCCAGGCACAGCATGAACAATGGCATCCCCAAGCCTACCTTCACAGTGCAGTTTGCATCAGTCGATGCAGTTATTGAGGGCATCATGGCCCAGGGTCACGGAATGCTAATAGCTAAGTTTGATGTGGCATACAGGAATGTGGTTATCCATCCAGACAATCACCCCTTACTTGGGATGCAGTGGCATGGTTGATATGGTTCTCCCTTTTGGGCTGCGTTCTGCACCTTTTATTTTCACATCCATTGCAGACCTGGTTGAATGGATCCTGGTTCATAATCATGGCATGGACTTCCTACGCTACTACCTAGATTACTTTTTTACCCTTGTCCCACCTTTGTCCCAGATCTGCCACTCCTATTTACTTACCTATGTTCACCTTTGCCAAAGGCTAGGCCTCCCCCTTTATCCTGACAAGTTAGAGGGACCTGCTACTTGCTTCACTATCCTCGGGATTGAACTTGACTCCCACAGGCTTCAGGCTTGCCTACCAGCAGAGAAAAGAGTCTGGATTGTTGCGTTGCTTGAAGAGTGGTCCATCAAGCCTTTTTGTAAGAGACGGGAGTTGGAATCCTTGATTGGTCACCTCCATCATGCCTGCAAGGTTGCCCCACAGGGGAGGGTATTTCTTCTTTGTGCCTTTCGTCTGGATGATCACCCTATCAGGCTAAACCAAGAAGTCCGTTGGGACCTTACCTTGTGGCAGGAGTTTTTTCAGGCCTGGAATGGCCTCAGTTTCTTATGCATGCCCATGTGGGCACCCATCCTGGACTTCCAAGTCTCCTCGGGTGCAGCACTCTCACTGGGCTATGGGGCTGTTTTTAACGCCTAGTGGTTTTGCAGTGCTTGGTCAATGGAGCAAAAGTCATTACTGATCGCATACAAGGAGCTCTTCCCCATTGTTGTAGACGCCGCTTTATGAGGTTCTGAGTGGGTTTCTCAGCAGGTCAAGTTCCTGTGCGACAATGAGTCAGTGGTGTCTGTACTTAAGTCTGGCTCTTCACAGGACCAACATTTGATAGGGCTGCTGCGTCATTTGTCCTTGCTGGCTATACGCCATTCATTTGTGTTTACTGTGTCTTCAGTTCACGGCAAAGGTCAATCCTGTAGCTGATTCTCTCTCATGCTTTCAATTTCAGCCTTTTTGTCGTCTGGCACCTCAAGCCGATCTGACCTGACGTGTGTGATTCCCTTGTCACTTCTGACTTTTGCCACCGGGTTGGTCACCCTAACAGGGATGGCTCCTTCCCTCCTACCAATGAGGAGATGTGCTTTGCTACACTCTTGGCCTACAACTTGACCCATGCATCTATTAAAGTATACTTGTCGGTGGTACACTCCCTTCACATGACCATGGCTTGTCATATCCTTTCATCAACTGCCTTTCATTTGCAGTGTTTGCTAAGTGGAATATAGTGGCTTCAAGGTCCAGTGTCACCCAGATGCCTCCCTATCACCCTGGATCATCTGTGGATGATTCAGCGGGGACTGGACTACTCCAAGAGAGACCATTTGATGTTGTGGGCAGCATGCTGTTTGGCTTTCTTTGGTTTCTTACGCGCTGGGGAGTTTACGGTGAATTCAGCATTTCAACCTAGTAGCCATATGACTGTTGATGACTTGCAAGCTGACTCGCTGGTGAACCCTACCTGTTTTAAAGTTCATATCAAGTGCTCGAGTCTCATCCGTTTTGCATGGGCTGTGATATAAATGTGGGGCGTGCTCAGGGCTTGGTGTGTCCCATCCGCGCCTTGGGTGACTTTCTGGCTCTGCGTGGCTCTTCTTAGGGACCTCTCTTTACATTTAGTGATGGTCACTCTCTTACACGGCAACAGTTGTCTTCCACAGATCAGTCTATCTTGCACTCCTGCTGGTCATACTGGCTCCTATTCAGGCCATAGCTTCTGTATGGGGGCAGCAACTACGCCGCTGCCTGTGGGGAGTTCCGGATCATCTGATCAAGATCCTAGGCCAGTGGTCTAGTGATGCCCACCAGATTTATATTCACACTCGAGTTAGCTCCATTGTCCACGTGTCCAGACAGCTGGTTGCATAGCAGGTATCTCCATTACCATTTGGGCTGCATTGGGGTTGGGTGCCTCAGGCTTGGGCCCTCAGGGCCTGTGGCTCTGTAACCCTGAGCCCCCCCTGGTTGCTTCTGGTTTTTCTACCTGGAGGTCCCTTTAGGCTGGTGTCTGGGTTGCAGGTTGGTAGGCCTCTGGGTGTTTCTCTGCCTTGGGGTGTGCTTGCGGTTGCACTCTCCTGGCCCCTGGGCACCCAAGCTCCACTTGCAGCGAGGGCGCTAAATACTATTAATTTGTATTTAATGTAGTCAATGACTTGGAGCTATGGTCTCTAGTGTAATTTTTTGGCGTTCTTTGGTGGCATGTTGGCTGTCTGTAGCGCTGTCCCATGACTATGTTGGTGTTTACAGCGTTTACCATTGTTCGTGAGCATGGGGGCATATTCCTGTCCAGCAGTATGTTGCTTCTGCGCAAGCACATTCCATGGCAGGTGCCTACGTTGGGTTTGTGTTGTACTCAAAGCTTTGTTGGCATGGTGTTCTGTTCGAGTAGCATAGTGTTTCTCTTGGTTTCTCCTCCCTCCACTTTCTTGGTCTAGGGTCTACCCCCAACCCCCCCCCCCCCCCTTGCCAGGGTTTTCATATTACTACTGTGCCCTCTGGGCACCCAACCTCCACTATTCGGTCATTAATGACTGATTAGCCCTAAAAACCCCTTACAGACTGTAACATGCACAAGAAAAGACTTTTTTTGTAGTACAAAACTAACCTTGCCAGTTGTATTTTCTTACAGGTTTGACATCTATTCTTTAAATCCAGGGCAACGAGAAGATGATGTAGGAATAAAGAGTTCAGCCCTAGAAAGTTTGTATCCAGTAATTTAACGATGTGCATGACTAAAACTAGATTTTGTAAGACAGTCCTAGGGTTATTAATAATAATTAGACGGATTGAAACACACACATGACATTACGAGCCTTCATTAATAGCCAATAACATCAGGGCTTAACTGACAGATGACCAATAACATCGCGACTTAATTGACCAATCAGATCAATAACCAGAGGTTATCAAAACGTCAGTCACTGTCAACAACAACATATCAGTCCTATTCAGGAGTACATTCACGTGGAAGAACATACTCAACCTACTTACATTGAGTCAATAGCACAGACATGTATTTCAATTCTTACAAGGTAAAAACACTTTAATCACACTCTCAGTAAGCCAGTTTTCTGACTGGCCATAATAAGTGGATTCAGAATGTATTATCAAGAAAGGAACAATTATTTATCTTTTTATCTTTAATCAGTGAATTATCAATAGTACAAGCTAATCATTGCAATGTGTGGTTGATGGCAAATAACTTATAACTATGGCCTTAAACATGGGCAAAGAAGGAGTATTAATAACAGCCCTTAAGTTTGCAATTACTTACCGTTATTTGGGAATAGTCCTGAACATACAATCCGTGACATTAGAACTTTCAAAATCGAGGGAATAACAGTGACATGTTGTTCTTGACTTCCCTTCCCCTGTGCCTTTCAAAGTTGGCCTCGAACTTGGACAATTCCACCGAAAAACCATTACAAAATAACACTGAAAGAGAGAAAAACAGGTATCAGAGCAGTGTGAACCAAGTTGAGTGGCCTTGATTGTAGCTCCAAACTGCCAACTCTGTGAACTAATAGTGTTGCAGATCTTTGCTGTCACACTGTTATGGTTTCAAGATGTTGATAGTGTACAAGGCCAGTCTTGAATACGGAATTGCAAATGCCCTATGGTGGGTGTGCTCTGTTTTGATGAATTAATGTAGACAATGTCACTTGGGTGTGGGAAAGTATGTAAGTCACCAATGTATGTCAAAAATATGAAGAAGTTTTCTCTGCCTTGGATGAATTCAGAAGTTAGAAAAGCTATGATTATAAACAACAGGTGCAGACTCCTCAGGCTCTGTCATGATAGAAAATTACAGAGCTTTGCAAGATTCCAAGTAGACCTTTCTGGAAGTCCGTGCAGTCTGACACCATGGGGAAACACTGGAGCTGTAACATTTTTTGTTGTATTTTCAGTAAGGAAGTTAGTTGAAGAAGAGATCAAAAGTGGAATACCGTCAGAGAGAATTGTATTAGGTATGATTTAAATCAATGTCATTTGCTAGCTAGCTCCAGTGATCAAATTTTTTAAATAGCTAGAACTTACATGCCCTGTGAGCAGAGGCTACATTTTGCTGAAAATGAAGTAGCCTCTGCCGACATCCATTCAATTTTCTATCATGCATGCACAAAATTCGTCACGCGATCCGCAAGCAAGATTAATCATCAGGTCTGTCGTCAAATGGCGTGAGTTTTGTGGGAATAAAAAAATTGCGACAACTCAGATCTGCTTGGTCAAGAAAAAATTTATTTGTCCAGATTTCTGGATGGATTTGAATGGTTGTCAGCAGAGGCTACTTTTCACATGACAGCTCACACAGCAAAAAATTAGCCTCTGCTCACAGGGTAGAACTTATGTTACAGGTCAAATTAAATTTAGGTCAAAATGATTTAACTTAGGTTGAATCTCAAATTTCTTTGTCTCCTGTCTCTAGTTATTCATGAATTAGGGCTAGGAGACAAAGGAAATTGAGAATCAACCTAGGTTAAAAAATTTTAGCCTGAATTTAATTTTGACCTGTAACACTTATAAGCTCCTGGGATTGAAAGTTTTGTGTTAAAATGATTATATAGCTAATGAGCAGCACTTATTAACAACCATCTGTAAGTTGGGTTCAGGTGACTTTACTCAAGTGCGTCAGAGTAGCATTGTCACTTAACGTTACACACTGCACAGTTAACAATAACTTAGTCAGTAATAGAAAAAAGCAGCGTAAATGTTTTTGTAGCGCCAAAAATATATATTATATATTTTTATCTAGCTTGTAATTAAACTTTTCGTTTTAATTCAGGGCTATTTGGCATATTTTGGCATTTTTTTAGCCTTGTAAATCTAAGGAAAATTTGTTTGTAGAACAATTCTGTAGCAAGAATTTCAGACGTAGATTACTAAATAAATAAATATTATTATAGAAGAGCATTTTAAGAAGAGAGTGTGTTGTATGACTGCAGGTGGATTTTCTCAGGGAGGTGCCCTTGCACTCTACACAGCCTTAACCATGGAGAAAACACTTGGTGGTATCTTAGCCCTTAGTTCATGGCTTCCTCTTTACAAGGAGTTTCCAAAGGTCATTAGACAAGTAAACTCATTTTATTAGCGTTATTGTTGGTTGAGTGCTTTATTTGTTGTCGTTGTGAATGCAGACAAGGAAATTTTACATTAATCACTGACACAATTTTTTACTTTTTTGCAAGTTTGAGTGCAAGTTTATTGTTTACATATAACAATAATATAATTACAATAATTTGTACTGACCTGCAGGTAGCAAAACCAATCAAGGCAGGTCGGTCTCATTTTCTATTTTTACAGTCTTACTAAATCATAACAAAATTCAAATGTTCATGGAGCTTTTTCGAACACGAATGCTCAGCTGTCAGTTCAAGCAATTGTGACAAGTGACCAATATTAATTTTGTTGTCGAGATACTCTACTTTAAATCGGAAAAACTGTTCAAAACTTTGCAATGAAACGATTTGCTTGCATTTTTTTCACTTGAGTTTGAACAATTATTCAGTTGACAAAGTTGCATTAGTTTTTTTATGTTCAACTGTATAAGAGTTTCTACAGATAATCTATGAGGACAGCAACGGACATGTATTTAGCAGCAATTTATTTGTTCATGTAGCTAGTGACGTAATGACGCCCAAGTCAAATCCTGCCTTTTCCTTTGATCACATTCCTGTGATGTCTTTGTTTTTCATATTTAGTGTGTTAAAGGAAATCGTGACACTCCAATATTACAATGCCATGGTAAGTCACTTGGTACCGAGGGTGAGAATTATTATATAGTAATTTTTGTAGAATGACAGATATTTAATTTTAGAGTTTTTTATGAATATGTTTTCACAAGTTACCAGTCAAAAGCCACTCACCAATATTAAAAGTTTTATTCACAACCAGGGGCTGATTACGTAAAAGGCTTACACTGGGAACTAAGTGCTAATGCCTCACGTTCAGTCAGGCATGGAATCTACATGGACTGGTTTTAACCTGAATTTAAATTTGTTCTGTAACACTTATAAGCTCATGAGACTATAAGTTTTGTTTTAAAATAATTATATAGCTCATGAGCAGCACTTATTAACAACTATCTGTAAGCTGGGTTCAGGTGACTTTTTTAAAGTGCGTTGGAGTACCATTGTCACTAGACAACCAGGGGCTGGTTACATAAAAGGCTTACAGTAGGGACCTAAGTGCTAATGCCTCATGTTCAGTCAGGCGTTGAATCTACATGGACTGGTGTGGGTGTTAGCAAGTGTCTGACGTTAATCTGACTAAAAATTAGACACGGTTGGAGGTAAATGTATATGTAAGCTAGTCGTAAAGTGCTCCCTATTGGCTTTATTCTGTAGCGGGCATTGCAAGTAAATAATGTCTGGCCTAATTATTAGTACCTGTGAATGTCTTGCTATTGCAACCATCGCCAATGTCTGGCATGCATCTGGCATAGATTATGCCTAACAATGTCAGACATAAGGCTAACGTGGTATGTAAGGACTGGTGTATAAGCAAGGTTTATGCAACTGACCCCAGAATTCACTTTCCCACATAAGATACGGTGATCATATCCAATCTGATTATAGATTACATGTATTATCCTAGTTGAAAACACTTAGTAGGCCAGGTTCAGTTACCATACTTCACGGGAAATATCAAATTGAATTCAATTTGAACTTTACCCGACCCAAATTAATTTAGGCCGGCTCCGGGATGATTCTAGCCTCCCACGCAGGCGTTTTTAGGGGAGCTCGTTTTCCATCCCTCCCCACAAAACGAGCTCCCCTAAAAACGTCTGCGTGGGATGATTCATATACTATCTTTATTCTAACTAAATTCTTACTCTGAGCTTCCGTTTGGTTTGGCTCATGTGAAGTCTGGCATCTGAATCAATGCTGTTCCACAGCCGTGATACACTGTATTCCCACTCGAGGCAGACGAAGAATCAAGAATCAAAAATGGCAGTCCTTATTTAGTTGAGTGAAAGTCCAGGAATATACATGTAACAATCACAATTCTTTCCGTGCTAACATTATTTTTATTAATACCATGTGTAATACTAAACCAGCTGTCTTTCTACCTTTTTTTATAAATACTGAAAGTAACACGTTTTGCATTGTAGGTGATGCAGATCCTGTGGTACCATGTGAATTCGGAGAAATGTCAAAAGGTGTTTTAACTTCATTCTGTTCAAAAGTGGAATTTAAGAAATATAGCGGGATGGGTCACAGTTCTTCAGATCAGGTGAGCTTATTATCACCTTTTTTTGTAAATTCGCAGTCAACATAACTAAGAATGTGTTTTTAAATTGTCTGGATCGTGCTGTGTAATGAAATCCGTAATGTATTAAGGTGCTGGTCCATACATAAGTATGTAAGATTCTCTTCTGGCGCTGTATATGTTTGCGAAAAGCTAGTGTTAAACTGAGTAGCTCACACCTGGCTTCTGTAGCACAAAATTGAATGTACTGTACCAAATATAAAGGGCCAAATATAAAGCACGACCTGCGTTTTTAGAGTTCATGGCATTTTTCCCAATTACAATAGGAAATCTTCAAAAATTGCAAGTTTAAACCTGGGATACAGGCATCTGTAAACTAGTACTCTCACCACCTAGTCTTAAAAATACTTTTAACTTTACAAATCGATTCAACAGAGGATTTAGCTTAAGTCAACTCACAGTTTTCACTACAGTGTTACTTATTTAGGAAAACCTTATTGGTGGATTCACCATGGTGCATTGGAGGAGGGCTGAAGGCCATGAGAGCCAGCTACTTTCAAAAGAAACAAAAGGAAAACAGAACCAAAGGAATTTCTAAGCTGTTCAATTCCCTGCCTACAAACCCCACAACTTGAAATAATAGTGACTGTTGCAGCCCTGATGTAGGGAAGGAGGGGATAGAGCAGAGAGAGCTCAGAGCTGGGATACATTATTGAGCTTAATTGTGGCACTTTGTGTATTAATTTTTGTTTTGGTGGTTGAGTTATCTTGGCAAGGTGATCCTGCAAAACTTTGGCAATAAATGTTTCCTCTCGGCTGTCAAAAAGAAGTTGTGTAAAATAAACTTCCATTTGAGGCAGAAAGTAATCTTTTGAGCTGATTAATTGACTGATTCATTTCTTTAAAATTGTTGTTTCAGGAAATGAAAGATGTTATGCAGTGGCTTAATACTGTATTACCCAGCAATTAGCTGCAGGCATAGTTACTGCACGTTTCACAAACATGCGAATTCTAAAGTTCAAAAGCCAACCGACGATTGCGCTTTTCGCTGCTGTCAACCATCTTAACGGACCTCTTAGGAAACTCAACTTTACTTCACGGGTTCAAAAGGTCATGATTTGTGATTTGCGGATTTCGATCCGTTTTGTATGTTTCGCTGTCTCAAGGTTCGTTGCTTCTGATCGTAATTATGATTGACGGCAGCGAAAAACGCAATTGTGAAAGTGGCTTTTGAACTTTAGAGTTCGCATGTTTGTGAAAAGCACAGTAAAATTGGGCTGCCTTTGTACAAATCTGATCTTCCTGGAATGAAGAATGTAATATATGCAAGTCTTTATTATCACATCAAACATAAGACAGCTGCTTTAATAATCAGAAATAAATTATCACCTTAACCTTTTTTTTGCAAAAGTAGATCAAGATTTACGTCCTGTCCACATGTATCCGTTTTCTTTACGGATACGGCTTCCGTCACACGTATTCGATGAAAACGGAACTTTTCGAAAACGCTCTCGCTACCCGTGTCAAGAGGCATAAGCATACGTGACGCGTATTAATAACCACAGTTAGACGGTCACGTGGAGTGAAGAGGGTCATTGTTTTAAAAGCAATTTTACTGTCACGCCAGTAAAATGTAGTTAATGGAACGTGACGCTAGTTATCAGTAATCCATTCATGGCGGCTCTTTTTCAACAAAGCAATTGTGTAGTCAAGCTGCCAAGGTCAGCGAGCTCTAAGATGCATTGTATTCTAGCGTAGAACTTTATGGCCTCTTTGTCTTAAGCAGGCTAGTACGAGCCACAGCATTGGCCAATATTTTCAAAACACTATTCATGGCTAAGAGTTTGCACATGCAACGCTGAGCTGTCTTGTAGTACAGCCTTTGCTACTGGCTATGCCAGCAGACATGCGTCTAGCTATAAAAGCCTAGAACAACTGTTCAGAGTTCACTTGGGTTCCAGTGTTCAGCAAGGTTTAAGCCTTCAGTATACTACACTCTTTTTTTTATATAAGAATATTGTTTTTCCGGCCCAGGCTGAATATTCTTATTTTTCTGCCGATTTTAGGCTGAAAATATTCTTGTATTATTCTTAAATTATAGCTTATGACATTTCCGTTTTAGAATATATTGGGGTATCAAGTATAGTTAGTGCAGGTTTTTAGCGCCTTGTTGGCAAGTTTTGCCGTTCAGAGGATGGAATAAGTTGAAAACATAATTGTGTGGTATTTACAGTTTTTGAACACACAAAATTACATCCTTTTCAAAACCTCAGCCTGGGGTTTATTCTTAAAATATTCTTAAAATTTCGCAAATTTCAGCCTCGATATTCTTATAAAATATATTCTTATAGAAAAAAAAGAGTGTATTCTTGTAAAATTTTTCCCTCCCTCCCTCCCTTTGGAGACGAGGTTTGGGCTTTGTTTTGTGCTATGCCTTCAAATAAAACTAGGGACACTTCTTGCAGTACGGTTAAGTCTGCGCAGCGACTTCCCCCAAGCTTGTTGGGCCGCATTGCCATTTAATATCGCCTGCAAACCGATACTCTTGTCCGATCCAGCACGTGCTGTGTTGCATTCAGCTGGTAGTGCTGGGGAGATAAGTGAGGTTCTTTGCCCATGCCATCGCCGGAAGTCGCACAGGCTAACCTAGCGCAAGGCAGTGCTCCCCCATTATCGCCAGCTTGTCATTATTTGTTTTATAATTAAGTCACTTCGCGTTTGAAAGGCATCATAAAGGAGCAGAGACATTAACGTAAGTTTTAACTTATTAACGTATGCCTCAAGCATGCGCAGTCGGGTAAGTTATCGTTTTCAAAGCGATTCATCGTTTAGAAAACGATGCGAAAACACTGCGAGTGGGCGCGAATTGTTTTAAAACGGAGAAAAAAAGTAGCGTTTTCAAACGAATACGGATACATGTGGACAGGCCGACAGGGCCTTATTCTGTGGTAATCATTGATCAGCAAAATTCAAAAGGAGGGATTTTTAATGAACTAGGGGGGGTTTACCGCTATAAAATTCTTGAAAGCGGGTGCCATGATGCTTGCTTTGTAAAACATCTGTTCAGATTTGATCCGCTGTTCTCAGGAGAAGAATAATAATTCATGTTGGTTCTAGAAAGCACAGAAAATTTGTATCACCTATTTCAGAACCAAATTGTCAAAATCTCTTCCTACATGTAGATTCAAACCCAAGGAGGTAAAACCCACACCCTTTGGTGTAATTAAACGTATAATTAGCTTATCATTTAGAAGGGAGCGCCTCGCCCCAGGGGAATTTTCTGATTTTACTTCTACCTGTACCTGTTGGAACAAACTACCCAAAGACATCAAGGAAGTAGCAGATTGCCGAAATTCTAAGAAGAGACTTATGAATATGTTCTTAAAATGACTTTGATCATATTCATACTTATTACTGGTCGAATAGTTTAATTATTTTTTCTTGTATCTAGTTAGTTGTTAAATAGTTAGCTCATTATGACTGAAAAGCCCTGTAAAGGGAGTATTAATAAATGTATGTATGTCAAATAAACTGCTTTAACAAATCAACTTACTTCTTTAAAACAATGTTTATTTGTATGTGAATTTAGGTAATAGACCTCTTGGGGCCTGTTTACATGGTGGTGGGGGACCCCAGATAGGTGAGGTAACATGTGGCGGGTCACCCCACCTATCATATAAACGTGATTAAATCAAAATGAGAGATTATGTGGACAAACGAGTTACCCCACCTAAGCGGGTTACCTCACCCACCTAGGGTCCCCCACCTCCATGTAAACAGGCCCTTAAGCTTATCTGGTTTTTTTTCCCAATGTAAGTCATGTGATAATTCTAGAGATCTTTTCAAGCTTTAAAGGTCTATGCATATTTTATTGGGTCCCATGACATGATATTGTTGAAACGGTACACTGTACGTTTTCAACAGAATAATCGAGTGTAGCTTTTTTTGAGAGTCGAGGGGAGAATGTAGAGGGTCGAGGGTAAAATGTCGAGGGAAGAATGTCGAGGGTCGATAAAATGACAGATTTTTTTCCGGGCGAGTAAAAATACATTCCTTGCGAATTTTATCGACAATTTTCATGTCGGAACCCCATGTTACTCAAACTAAGCCTTTGAATCCTTACGGCATCAACATGAGAGGAGTGTACGTAATCAGAAGAAAAATAAACCTGTCACGCTTTGCGCCTTTTTGCCGTGTTTGTTCGCTTTTCTCCATAGCTAATGGCCCTTTTCGAAATACCGTAAAATTCCGAAAATATGCCCCTCCATGTATGTATGAGCCCCTCCAAATATAACGCAAAACGTAAACGTAACGCAAAAAACCCTCCGTTAAATCGCTCCTCCAAATATAAGCCCCCGGGGGCTTGTACTTGGAAAATTGCCCTCAAATACAAAGTAAAACAAAGTAAAAACGATAAATTTACTTCCAACTATAAGGCTAGCCCAATCGATTTTGAAACGCAAATTTCCCTCCGTGAATAAGCCCCTCGAAAAGGGTCTTTGAAAAATATAAGCCCCGGGGCTTATTTTCGGAATTTTACGGTACTTCCATTCAAAAGCTCCTCAAAAATACGTTTGCTTAGACAGGAGAATAAATCCGAAAAAAATAAATCCGTAGGGAGATACCTGAGTGAATTAAGCGGTAACCCTTTAACATTTTCCGTGGAAGTTCTGTCGTACAACTAATTAAAAAATATATAAACCATTGAATTTGCAAGTACTCGTATCTTACCGAGGACTCGTCCCGGCTAAGCTGAGCTTAGGCTCAACTGATCGTTAAGTCTCGCATTCACTACCGTGGTCGAGGTGTGTTTGTTACGTCAGTAGCCCTTTGCACTGTGTGTACCATAGCGTTTCTACCGATATTTTTAGTAATACTGGACACTGTTATCATTAAACAGCTCAATCGTCGATTTTCACATGTGCCTAATTTAATTCAAGACGTAACTGCTTTGAGATGGGACGTCTGAATCAACTAACTTCGACAGTTTCAAATTAAATACGACTTTGTCCATCCTCGGAGACCCAGGGGCAGTTAGTCGGGTCGATAAAATGTTCGTAGTGAAAGTTTACTGTAAGATCGAGACGAGCCCCTGGGCACTTACTCTTACCGAACCAGTTCCAGAAGCGTTTGAATTGCCTGCTTCTGATTGGCCAGAAAAAATTTTTTCTGGCCAATCAGCGAAGAGAAGCTGCCGGGTGACTCTCGTGTTTTCTTACACGACGTAGTTTTCCTCATCGATTGCCATAGTTGCGTAGCGCGTTCAACGGGGAAAGTTTCTCGACGAAAGTTTCAGAACAAAATGTTAACAACCCGCAAAATTGCAACCTTTAGCACGACTACAAGAAACAAACACTCTCCGATGAATTTTTAGGGCGGATCTTTCCAAGG